CCTGGGCTGTGTGTACCTGGCGTGTGTGTACCTGGTGTGTGTGTAACTGGTGTGTGTGTACCTGGCGTGTGTGTACCTGGCGTGTGTGTACCTGGGCTGCGTGTACCTGGCGTGTGTGTACCTGGTGTGTGTACCTGGTGTGTGTGTGCCTGGGCTGTGTGTACCTGGCATGTGTGTACCTGGGCTGCGTGTACCTGGCGTGTGTGTACCTGGGCTGTGTGTACCTGGCCTGTGTGTACCTGGGCTGTGTGTACCTGGTGTATGTGTACCTGGGCTGTGTGTACCTGGCGTGTGTGTACCTAGGCTGCGTGTGCCTGGCAGGACTGGACATCAGCCACGTTCGTCTCTGCAGACTCGTCTGTGCTCGGCCGTGACAGGTCACGCCTGTGCCCTCGGAGTGTGTTGGTGAATGAGGGTGACACTGGGCCTCTTCTCTGGTCCACAAGCGTGTGAACAGTGAATGGGCCAGGATGGCGGAGGGGGTGTCTGCAGAGCTGCGTGGGAGGAGGGGGTGGGAGGACTCAGGACGCACATTTGTTCAAGCCCAGAAAGTCAGTCCTGCCCTTCTAAGGGGCCCCCAAAGCCAGTCTTTCCTGGTCCTGGTTCTGTTCCCCCAACCCTGTCTCTGCCCAGGGGCTCTGACCTCACCCCCTGTCTTAACCGCACCCCTAGGCCAGACTGTCTGGCCAGCCCGTCCCCCTCTTTGGCCCACTCCTGCCTGGCTCTGCTTCCTGTGAGGGGCCCTCTGAGAGCCCAGCTCCACTTCCTCATCCAAAGTCACAATTATTTGTTTTATTTTATTTTATTTTATTTACTATTGTAACTATTTTTTAATTTGCTATGAAGCACACACGCTCACCAGAGAGAGAAAGCGAGAAAGCAAGCCGCCGCCAGGTCCGGGTTCAAACCACAGCCGGCCATGTGGGAGTTCAGAGCCTTGATAGCCAGCCACCAGCTGGCCCCAGCCAGGGGTCTTGCTACAGTGACGCCCCTCAGCAGAGCCCAGTCCTTTCGAAGACTCCCCTTACCCCCCACCCCGGAATCTGCCCCCTCCAGTCCTGAGCCCATTGGCTAAGGTCGCGGCCGAGGCCTCCAACCTGGCCTCGGCGCAGCGCCACTGCTGAGCCCCTAAGGTCGTACAGGGCCCCCGACCAACCTTCCCTCCCTCGGTCCAACCCATCCAGCTCTAGCCACCCGAGAATCTCAGAGGTCCAGTCTGAGCCTCGTCTCCCCACCCGAACCCTGGCCCTGTGCTCTGGACCTCCGCCCTGTCCTCCGGATCTGCCCCCCAGTCCTGACCCCGCCCCCGCAGCGCTGGCCCCGCCTCTTGTCCAAGCTCCACCCCTGAGCCCATGCCCCGCCCATTTCTGCCCCCCCAGAGCCTGTTCCAAATGTTTCCGGTGACAACCCCTGTGCCCCCGGGTCCTCTGGGAGCACCCGGGACTTTGGAGCTGGAACCAGGGAGAACAGCCAGGCGGACGACGGCGGCAGCAGCAACCGCATAGGGGGGCGTGGTGGGGACAGGTTGGGGGGGCAGGAGGAGGTAGTGTTGGGGGTGGGATTAAGGACAGAGTTGGTCAGGTTTGGGCTGGGGATGAGGTTAGCTTCAGGGGAGAGTTATAGTAGGGAATGAACGTGAGGGGTGGATGTGGATATACACACACATATACACACATACACATATACACATACATATACACAAACACATACACAGACACACATACGCATATACACAAACATATATATATACACACATACACATATACACATACATATACACAAACACACATATATACACACATACACATACACAAACACATATACATACACATACATACACATACACACATACATATACACAAACACATACACATATATACACACATACACATACATATACACAAACACATATACATACATATACATACACATACACACATACATATACACAAACACATACACATATATACACACATACACATACATATACACAAACACATATACATACATATACATACACATACACACATACATATACACAAACACATATACATACATATACATATACATATGTGCAAACACATACACATATACACAGACATATATATACATACACATACACATATGCACATACATATACACATACACATACATATACACAAACACATATACATACATATACATATACATATGTGCAAACACATACACATATACACAAACATATATATACACACATACACATATACACATACATATATGCAAACACACATATATACATAGACACACATATACACATACATATACACAAACACATATACATATATACGTACACATATACACATATATACACAAAACACACACATATACACAAATGTGTACACACACACACATCTATTTCTAGTCCCCATCACTGTATATGTGACCGTATTGGGATACATTGGATTAAATAAAATATATTATTGAAGCTGATTTCACCTGTGTTTTTGTTAGTGTATACACACACACGTATCACACATATATGCACATATGTGTATGTGTGCGTGATTCGCGTGTGTATCTGGTCGGGACTGGAAATCGGTGTGGGACTGAAGGTGGGCGTGGCACTGAAGGTGGGCGTGGCTTGGAGTAGGAATGGAACTGGAGGTGGCCGGGTCTGGATCTGCAGTGGGGTGCACTGGGTTTGGGAGTGCAGACATGGAGGGTCTGGGAGTGGGCGAAGAACAGGGCCGGAGCTGGAGCTGCCTTGGGGTTGGCCACACAGATGCTGACGTCTGGGAAGGAGCGGGAACTGGGCTGGCCCTAGGGTGGCAGGGCGGGGAGCCCTGGGTGTGCGTGAAGACAGATGGGTAGGGCTGGATTTGGGGTCAGGAGCGCGTGGCTGGTGGTTTCTGGGTAGGGAAGGGGTTGCTGTTGGGGTGAAGGTTGGGGTGGGATGGGAGTAGGTTTGGGGGGAGAGCAGGATGGAGCGAGGATGGTCTGGGGCTGGGTGGAGGACGGAGTGGGTGGGGTGTGGGCCAGACACCGATTAGGGACCAGGACTGGCATGACTGGCACCATCTTTCTCAGGGCTTTCAAAGTCCGCCTGGGCCATCCTTCCCTGTCACCCATATATGAATCTGGACAGCAAGTATTCCGAGGGGTCAAATCCATCCCCCACCCTGGCTACTCCCATCCCGGCCACTCCAACGACCTCATGCTCATCAAACTGAACAGAAGAGTCCGCGTGACTCAGGACGTCAGGCCGGCCAACCTCTCTTCCTGTTGCCCGCCTGCCGGGACCACGTGCATGGTATCTGGCTGGGGAACAACCACCAGCCCCCAGAGTGAGTGTCCGGCTCCTCTCTCAGGCGGCCCCTGCCCCTCTCGGTCCCTCCCCGCCTCTCACTGTGTCACTCTTTGCCAGATAACTTCCCCAAGGTTCTCCAGTGCTTGAACATCACCGTGCTGAGTGACGAAAGGTGCAGGAAAGCCTACCCGGGCCAGATCGACAACTCCATGTTCTGCGCCGGGGACGAGGCGGGCCGAGACTCCTGCCAGGTGAGGATCAGACTTCGCCGTTCCTTCAGCAGACGCAGAGTGGCCGCTCCGGCACCCGGGCCTTGCTCAGGGGTGGGATCCAGCAGCCACCTGGACGGTGCTCCCGGAGTGGAACCGCCCCCTACCCGCTGTCTGTTCTATTAGCTAACAGCAGTGCGGTGTGAGCCGCCGGGCGCGTGTGCGTGCGTGCCGAAACTCCCTAGAGGAGAGTGGAGGGGACGGGATGGCGGCGTGGCCATCCCCCCTGAGGAGTGACTTCTCTCTTTCTGTCTCTCTTCTGAGCACACGCGCCCTATCGCAAAAGTCTCTCAAAAAAGAAAAAAAAAAAAGAAACACACTGTGAGCTGCAGATCCATGTAACGTTTTCTAGTAGCCACATTAAAAAGTAACAGAGACACAGGTGAAATGAACTTGAAGAACATATTTCATTTAACCCAATGTATTCCAATCCAGTCATTTCAGTATGTAACATTGCGTCGCTGGAAAAGACAAGACGTGCTTTTCCAATGACCCAATAGTATAAAACAATGAGGTATTTTACTTTTTTTAAGAGAGAGAGACTTTTGCTATAGTGTGTGTGCGCTCACCAGAGGGACAGAGAGAGACAGAGAGACAGAAAGTGAGAAATCACCCCCCAGGGGGGATGGCCACGCTGCAGTCCCTTCTCCTCCAGTCTCCTCTCAGGACTTTGGGCACGCACGCACACGCGCCCAGTGTGAGTTTTAAGCCACCAGATCCAGGACTCGAACTGTGGTCGACTATGCGGGAGTCCAGCAATGTAACCATGACGCCATCTGCTGGTCCCCACATTCTTTTTTTAATGTCGTTTTTAAAAGTAAGTATGTATTTCGGGGCCAGCAGGTGGCATAATGGTTAAGGTGTTGGACTCCCACATGGCTGACTGTGGTTCAAGTGCCGGACCCGGAAGCGTGTAACTCGTGCCCAGTGCATGTACACGCTGTGCCCAAAATGTCAGGGGAGAGTGGAGGAGAAAGGATTGCAGCGTGGCCATCCCTCTGGGGTGGGGGTGATTTCTTGCTTTCTGTCTCTCTGTCTCTTAGTCTCTCTCTGGCAAGCATATGCACCCTATGGCAAAAATCTCTCTCAAAACAAACAGAAAAACCCACTCTGTAAGGAACAGCTGCCCACAACAAAGAATGACCAGCCCCCAAGCCGCAGGGCCGGGTGGAGAGGCGTGCGCTCAGGGGCCAGTAACTGTGTTCTGCAGAGGTGGGGAGTCAGGACGAGGCGCATCGGGATGGGTGACAAGGGAGAAGCAGAGGGACCGTGTCCTGTAGGGGCGGCAGGCATGCAAGGCAGGGGGAGAAAGCCAGAGAGACAGAGCCAGAGAGATGCAACAAAGAGACGGAGCAGAACAGGGAGTTGAGACCGAGACCGAGACCGAGACACTGAGGGGAAGGGCCTCAGTCCCCAGGAAATGACGTTTGCACTATGGGGGAGCTGGCAGACGAAGCTGGGGTAAATGGGATTTCCAGAGTGGGCATGGGGCGAGGTACTAGTCACCCTCCTCCTCTCATCTCTCTACCGCGTCTCCATCTCTGATTCTGTGTCTCCTTCCCTCCGAACCTTCCACCTGTGTGTCTCTCTGCCTGGTCCTTCTCCATCTGCTGGTGTCTCTGGGCCTCTTGTCTCTCCTTCTCTCCACCTCACCGCATCCCTGCCTCTCTGCATGCCTCCATCTCTCCCCCGCAGGGTGATTCCGGCGGGCCCGTGGTCTGCAATGGCTACTTGCAGGGCCTCGTGTCCTGGGGAGACTACCCCTGTGCCCAGCCTGGCAGGCCCGGCGTCTACACCAAGCTCTGCGGTTTCACCAATTGGATCCACAAAACCATCCAGTCCAACTGATGAGCTGTCCCGGGACTCAGCGGTGTGCTCCACCCCTGCGGCACCCCGGCACTCCTAGGAGCCCTCCCAAGGGTGCTGAAGCACGCACCTCTCCTACCCCACCCTGGAACCCAGGGACGGACCCTGGGGACGCATCCCAGGACACCCGGGGCGAGGACGGCCTCTCCGTCAGCCCAGTGCTGTGTCCTCAGCCTTTCTCTGCAGCTGTGACCCAATGTAGCCACAGAAATAAAGCATCTGAGGAGAAGCAGGCTCTGTGTCCCGACCTCTCGCTGCACCCCAAGGCCCACACTCCTCCCCCGGCCACTGTGAGAGACCCACTCACCCTGCCTTCCGTCTTCTTCTCAGACTTCGATTTAGTGGGTATGAGCGGTAATTCCAGGTGACAGAGGTCATTTAAATTTGGAAGAGGGGGACCAGCAGTTAGTGTAATGGCTATGTCGCTGGACTCCCATGTAGTCGATTGCGGTTTGCGTCCCGGACCTGGTGGCTTAAAATTCACGCCAGGCGCGTGTGCGTGCGTGCCCAAGATCCTGAGAGGAGAATGAAGGAGAAGGGATTGCGTCGTGACCATCCCCCCGGGGGGTGATTTCTCGCTTTCTGTCTCTCTGTCTGTCTGGGGAGCACACGCGCCCTATAGCAAAAACCTCTCCATAAATAAATAAATAAATAAATAAATAAATAAATAAATAAATAAATAGAAATAAATTCGGAAGTGGAAAAAAAAAAAGACATGTCTTCCAAAAGTGATGCTCCTTTTGGCAACAAATAAGGGACGATTCGTGGTGTCTTAAATCGTAAAGTTATTTTTAAATTTTTTTTGAGAAGTTTTTGGTATAGGGCGTGTGCGCTCACCAGAAAGACAGAGAGAGACAGAAAGACAGAAAGCGAAATCATCCCCCGGGGAGATAGCCATGCTGCAATCCTTCTCCTCCATTCTCCTCTCGGGATCTTGGGCACACACGCACACACACCCAATGTGAGTTTAAGCCACCGGGTCCAGGACTCGAACCACAGTTGACTACATGGGAGCCCAGCGACATAGCCATTACGCCAACTGCTGGTCCCATAGCAAAGTTTTGTTTTGTTTTGTTTTGTTTTTGAGAATTATTTATTTGAGGACAGCAGGTGGTGAAGTGTTTGTGCCCTGGACTCCCACCTGAGTGCTGGACCTGGCAGCTTGAAACTTCTGTGGGCACATGTGTGTGCATGCCCCAAATCCTGATAGGATGGAGGAGAAAGGATTGCAGTGTGACCATCCCCCTGGGGGGCAATTTGTCACTTTCTCTTTCTATATATGTATCTCCCTATGTTTCTGGCTAATGCACACAACTTATAACAAAAATCTCTCTTAAGAAGGAATAATTATTTATTAAATTTTATTTATTATCGTTAATTTTTAATTTGACCAGAGAGAGAGCGGGAAAGTGAAAAGCCCAGCTGCCAGGTCTGGGACTAGAACTACAGTTGGCCATGCAGGAGTCCAGCGCCCTAACCACCACACAACCTGCTGGTCCCAATAGTAACATTTTAACCTCACATACAAAGAAATTGGGGCAGGGCAGCCCAGGCCTGGAACCTCAGGGCTCCGGTTCCGGTTCCGTTTCTCTCGGTTTCACCTCTCCTGGGCGTCATCCTCCTGGAGATCAGCCACGCGGTTGGTCTGTCTCCTAGAAAGATGCCCGTGGAGTTTCCTCTGTTCTTATTGGCCGGGATTGGGTCACACGGCCTTTCCTAAACCAATCACAGGCTAGGGGAGTGGAATAAACATGGTTGATTTGGGCCAATCAGGGTTTTTCTTCCTGGTTTGAAACTAGAACCTCCCCTAAAACATGTAGGGCTGTTCCTTTGAATAAAATCAGAGTTCTCTTCTCAAAGAAGGAAGGAAGCAGGGACTTTGGGTAAACAATGAGTGGATTCTTTTGTTGGTCCCAACCAAGTCTTATTGAAGATCCCCCCCCAGCCATATTTTTAAAGGGAATTATTTATTTAATTTTATTTATGATCATTACTTTTAAATTATTGCTACCGGGCACACATGTTCCCCAGAGAGAGAGAGAGAGAGAAAGCCACCAGGTCCAGGACTGGAACCATAGTCTGTCACGTGCGAGTCCACTGTCTCAACCATCATGTCACCTGCTGGCCCCTCCAGCCGTATTTTAGATTAACGTTTTGTTGAAGGGTGCAGAAATGTGCACACGTCATGAGTCTCGCAAACTCCAATGAGTTTTCACAAAACTGAACACACTCTCGCAACCAGCACCTAGAAGGAGCCTCAGCATGTGAGCCACTTCCCAGAAGCCCTCACGGGGCCCCCTGCAGTCACCTGCCCTCCCCAAGGGTGGCACCTTGGTGATTTTTTTTTTTTTTTTGCTATAGGGCGCGTGCACTCGCCAGACAGACAGAGAGAGACAGGGAGACAGAAAGCGAGAAATCACCCCCCAGGGGGGATGGTCACGCCACAATCCCTTCTCCTCCATTCTCCTCTCGGGATCTTGGGCATGCACGCACACGTGCCCAGTGTGAGTTTAAGCCACCGGGTCCGGGACTCGAACCACGGTTGACTACTTGGGAGTCCAGCGACATAGCCATTACGCTAACTGCTGGTCCTACCTTTGTGATTTTTATTTATAAATTAGTTTTTGCCCTTTTATCAATGGTATATAAATAAATATCAGTTAGTTTTACATAGATTTGTAAAAATATAGGAAGTTTATGTAAATAAAATAGCGGTACTGTTTACATCTGGCTACCTTAGCTTGGCGTTCTCTCGGAGTGGCTTGTCCAGTCTGCGGTTCATGGCTGTGCCCACTTCACTCTCGTGTGCACAGAGGCCACAACCTCCCATGTGTCTGTCTTTATTTTAAAGAGAGTTTTGCTATAGGGTGTGGATGCTCACCAGAGAGACAGAGAGACAGAGAGACAGAAAGTGAGAAATCACCCCCCAGGGGAGATGGCCACCCTGCAATCCCTTCTCCTCCATTCTCCTCTCAGGATCTTGGGCATGCATGCACATGCACCCGGCATGAGTTCCCAGCTGCCAGGTCCAGGACTCGAACCACAGTTGAGTGGTTCTTCCACGTGGAAGACTGGCGCCTTAGCCACTATGCCATCTGCTGGCCCCGATAGTCTAGTGTTACTGCGAATGGGCCTTTGGGCAGTTCCTACTTTCTTCAACGGTTGTAAACATGATGTGCTGATGTAAGCGTGCTCAAGCCGCAGTCCACAGGCTTGGGGAAGCCGTGTGCTTCGTTCTCTGCCTTCAAAGGGGCGGGCGCCGTCCTGCTGCTGCTCCTCGGCCGGCCGTGGCGCCTGGGCGCATTCCCGCGCAGGCGCAGGCTCAGGGCGAGGGGGAGACCCGCAGAGCCGCGCGTGGACCAAGAGGCAGAGGCTGTGTTTTGTGCATGTGTCTGACTCAGCGCAGGGCCGGCTGGGTGCAGATGAGGCTGCTCACCAAGCTCCCCTGCATTCCCAGCTGAGCAACTAGTGCTCAGCCCAGCATGTGACCTGGACCCACCTGTGCGGCCCCGTGACTCAGCTGCAAGCTACGAGATGTGAGCCAAGACCTATGGCCTGGATTTCCCGGGACGTTGTGCTGCTGATGAGAAGGGACCGTCTCTCTCTCCTCACCGACAATGTGGGTGCTAGGGTGGCCTGGCTCTGCACCAAGGGAAGGAAGCCACACCATTTTTTTTAAAAGAAGGAAGGAAGGTGGGCCAGCAGGTGGCATAGTGGGCAAAGGCACTGGGCTCCTCCACGGTTGACTGTGGTTCAAGTCCCATACCTGGTGGCTTTGCTTTCTCACTTTCCTTCTCTCTCTTTCTCTCTGATCAAACTGGAAAATAGTAATAAATAACGTTAAATAAAATAATTATTTAAAAAGGCAAAGAAGGAAGGAAGAAGAGAGAGGGGAGAAAGAAAAGAAGAAGAAAGGAGAAAACAGCCAAAGGCGAAGGTGCACATCACGACCTGGTGTTCTTTGTTGCAATTGTAGAGCACCACCTGGTGAACGGCCACCAGATGAACGGCCACCGGGTGAACGGCCACCGAGTGAACGGCCACCGGGTAAACGGCCACCAAGCCAGACTAAGGGTTCAGGGGGTCTTTGTGA